GTTTTCTTTATTTTTTGTTTTTATTTTTGTTTTTGTACTTTTATATTTTAAAATAAAAGTACTTACAAAAAATATTAAAATACAAAAAACAAAAAATATAAAAGTACAAAAACAAAAATAAAAACAAAAAATAAAGAAAACAAAATAATCAAAAATAAATATAAATTCTGGCACGTCCGATATCTTGACAATAAATAAAAGGGGACTTTAGTGTTATTATATTTTTTGTTTTTACATTATGATTATAATTCCATATTTTGGCAGCTATATAAATTTTATGTTAAATTGTGAAATTTACATATAATCGGGTAATATGTACTAATATGAAAACGCGATCTGAATGTATTGATATTGTAAAGATATCAAAGAGAGTCGTGAAACATTTCGACCCACTTCAGGTCTTTTTCAGCGGCAAATATTACCATTTTGACCACAGATATGTATATTATTACGGATCCCTAAAACCCGCATATACTTACAAGTTTGGTACAATAATATTCAATATCTTACTATTTCTATATTTCTGATAACCATTTTGATTCCACCATTTTGAATCAAAGGTCTAATTTAAAAAAAGGGCACGATACGATTTTAGAGCAATTTATAACGAGTAAATTAAAAAAAACATTAAAATCGGTTGAAAATTACACCGTCCTGGGATTTTTGTCCAAAAAGTGTGCCTTTTTTCCCACTGTGCGCCGTGGCGACCAGCATACTGGCTCCCTCCGCCAGGGGGTAGTCCACGCTAGAACGCGGGAGCCTTCACGAGGCCCCCCCGGCACGGGGGCACGTCGGACCCCGCCTCGGAATACGTCCGAGCGGCTCCGGAGGATCCCAGGCCACCGAGCCCCGCCTCGGAAACGTCCGAGCGGCCCCGGCAGCCCGTCACCTCGTTAGGACAAGCGGGACCGGCCCTCCATGCCAGGACGCACGTCCCGAAGGGACGTCGCCCCCAGACACAGGGGGTACCGGCCCGCAGCGTCCGTTGTCGGACCCACTGGACTGTGGGTCCGACCCTCTCCTGCCCGCCCACCCGGTGACCCGCGCCACGCACGGTTGTGCCACCAGGGTCGGGCTCTCTCCCGCCACCGAGAAGGACCACGTCCAGCCCAGCGACGGGAGAGCCATCCCCCCCCGCAACCCTGCCGGAACACCGACGTGCAATGGGTTGCGGGGGTTTCCTCGTGTCCTGAGACCCCGCCCGCCTACCGGAACACCAGCGTGCAATGGCGGTCGGGGCCAGGACTAGTGATGGGGAGGCGAAAAACACGCCTCCCCTATCCGCCTCTCCGGGTTCCCCCGATCCCTGCCGAAACATCGGCGTGCAATGGGATCTGAGAAGAGACAACCCGGTCTCCCGTCGGCGAATGGGCTCGGTTCTGCCTCAACTTACTTGTTAAGGCAGCCGAGCCCGGAGTCGCCGAACTCCTTGGTGTGCTCTTAGTCAGCGGACGCCTGGCCCATGGAACCGCCGGAGCCTAAAAACGGCCCACAGACGGTTCCAAGCCGAACGCCCGCCTCAGCCCCCCCACCACGACAAGGTGGCACACCACGGGGGGGCCTGTAAACAACTGTTCTTTTTGTTAAAAATAAATAACAGGTTTGAAAACGACGAGGAACTCAAGACTGCCGTTGTCAACTACAGTAAACCCTCGTTAACACGAACTCGGTTAACACGAACACTCGGATAACCCGAACTGAAATTTGGGTCCCGGCAGAGTTGTACAGGTTCTTATGGACCTTTCCCCCGGTTAACGCGAAATTCGGTTAACACGAACTTCGAACTACCTTTTGGTCCCTCCAGAAGAAATTCCTCGGTTAACGCGAATCGCGTATGAGTATCGTGTTGTATGTAAACAATGTTATATTGAGATATACATGTATATTATGAACTTCTTTGTCTCTATTATTTTGTTTTCTTACTTATCCTTTATCTAACTAGTTATTTATTCGCTAGACACAGAGTGATTAGTTGTGTTTCTGCTTCCATAACAGTTTGACGTGCCTAATTTTAACGTAGGTAATTTCCTTTACCATTTATTATATTTTTATGCTGTAAGTAATTTATGCTGTAAAAGTCTCGATCTATGCATTCAATTGATATAAATGCGAAGGTAAGAAAAGAATAAGTTATAATAATAATTAATACATAGCACACAGATATGTAAATTGTATAAATATTATATCTATTCAGGATTACTGTACATTCAATGAATTTGTTGAAATCGATGATGATATTGCCATATGTAATGAACAAGGAGAAAACATTCCAGACTTAACTGATGAACAAGAAGAACAAGAAGAAGAGATAGAAAAACCTAGTCGTTCTGCTGTTATGTCAGCATTTCAGACATGAAGAGATTATGTAGCTACAAATAATGTGTTTAATCAGTTTGTTGATTACTTACAGATTATAAGTTTTGAATATTCGCTAAATAATCCAGTTACAACTCGACAAAAACAATTACAGATTATTTTTCACCGAAATAATTAAATGTAAAACTTAACTGCAGAGCGATTCTTTTATATATGGACAGATCAGTGTAAATAGTATAATGTAATTCAATTTTTTATATTTATTTTTAATTTTAAATGTAAAAGATGTTTTTCTTAAATAACTACATAAATAATAATGAATATATCATATGCAACACAATCTACTAAATTTAGTTGATTTCGTTAACACGAACAAATTCGTGTTAACGAGGGGTCAGATTTCCTCGTTAACACGAACACTCGGTTAACACGAACTTAAATTGCGGTCCCTTCGAGTTCGTGTTAACGAGGGTTTACTGTAGTTCAATTCCCAGGCGACGAACTTCTATGCAGAGTGGTTAAAGAAACTGGTGCAGCGTTACGAAAAGTGCTAACTGAATGGTGATTATGTGGAAAAGTGAAGCAGGTATGTAGTAAATTAAAACTGTAAATAAAAACATTTTCTCACGACTTACTTTTTTTTCATGATCAAATGGCCCTTTTTTACGAATACACCTCGTACATTATATTCATTTTACAAATTACTTATTTTTTTTATGTATGCGGGGGCCGGTGCGGGCGCCGGTACGGGCGCTGGTGCGCCGGTGCTGGGGCCGGTGCGGGCGCCAATGCCGGTGCGGGCGCCGGTGTGGGAGCCAGTGCCCGTGCGGGAGCCGGTGCCCGTGCGGGAGCCAACGCTGGTGCAGGAGCCAGCGCTGGTGCGGGCGCCTGTGCTATAGGGTAGCCCAAACTTCTAGCTGAAATAAATAAATATAATTAATCAATCAATCAATTATTCTCTCTCTCTCTCTCT